TTTTTTTTTTTCAGTGCGTAAAATACGGAAAATGGACGTAAAGGGTTCCACCACTACTCAAAAAATGTCATCGATACGTAAGTATAGAGTTTCGTCATCGAAACTGAAGTTTTACTCAGTGCACTTCACGAGGAACATTCAAATAGTAAGCTTCCCTATTTCATAATTATCAAACGAAAAATGAATTAAATGAGTGACTTAAAAATGTATGTACGACGAACACTCAAATTTAATATTGAATCCAGATTCTGAAAACAGGTCAAATGACTCGCAAGAGAACTCGATTTTTCTAAAGCCACCTCCTGTCGATCGGCGCGTGCTTTTCATCGTACACAACCGAGCCGAAGCTCCTTAGTATTTTTATCCTCTATCTTTCAAAACGTTTGTCTTATTCTAAAGCTAAAAGTAATAAAATCGAGTTTCCTTGCTAGTTCTTACACCAGTCTTCAGAATCATGATCTGATTTTCAAGTTGAGAGTCTGCGTCATAGAGGCCGATACTGAGCATATTTTTAATCATTAATTAATCTTCTCTCGTTTGGATGGTAGTTTAAGGAGAAAATCTCACTTTTTGGATTACACGCGTAAGCATCCCTGGAAGAAAAAATTCTTGGGTTATTACTTTTACTTAAAGCCTCGTTTCTTGTCGACAAAATTCAGTTTTTGTTTTTTTTTTTTTTGTTTTTTTGTTTTTTTGTTTTTTTTTGTTAAATCTGTACGGACTCAACCCAACATCAAATTCCTATAATTAAGAAAGCGTCGTTTTGCCATCGTCTAGTTAAAGAAACAATTACAAAACAACGTTTCTGTAATTAAAAGAAAACTGACTCCAAGTTAAATCCGCACAGATTAAACTCAATTTTGTCGACAACAAACGACGCTTTAAGTCAAAGTAATTTTTCAAGAAACAATGGTTTCAGTGATGACTAATATTTTTCCTTTTAAAAAAATCTTGAAATCACATGAAGTATTTCTTGAGATTTCAGTATGGAAATCACTGGAAATTACATTGCGATTTTAGGTTCTTGTTGCCAATTTTTAATACAGCTAAAAATTTAGTTCATAACATTCAGATGCATGCAGTTTTGGCTGTATCAGATGTGCATACGTTTCAAACCTCTTCATGTTCTACAAATGCAATTATTTTATTTTGCAGTAAATGTGTTTTTGAGTGCGGGTTGAATCTATACCTTAGCCTTTCAAGAAATGAAATATTTCACTTATTGTTTTTGTGTGAGTGTGTGAGAGGGAGAGGGAGGGTGTGTGTGTGTCGCACTGAAATTTCAAATCTTTCATATTTTTTTTCGTTGCAGTCTACCCTGCTCGCAAGTCGCTTCAACGACGGAAGGTAGTTCTCGCCTTATCTGAAGATGAATATTTAATTTTTTTTTTTTTTTTTATTTATTTATTTTTTTTACAATAACTATAGTGCGTTTCCTTCTTTTCGACTTCTATTTCATTTCCGTCACTCTAATAGGAAGAGTTTCTCTCGTCGAATGATCCCAAAATAAATATGTTCCGACTACTTGCCTGAGTTTTATCAGAAGTTTCGAGTTTTCCTCCGTGTGTAACCTACACTAGGGCTAAGTCATGAAAACATCATATTCAATTGGTGTTAGCAAGTAAACAAAACATAAAAACGGAACATTTGAGATTGTGAAAGTTTAAAAAGCGAGGGAAGTAGGATGATCATCACTATCGACTGAGCAATAACTCGCTGACTACAGCAAGGCTAAAATAGAAAGGAAGAACTAACAGATACCCATATCGCTTTTGTGACAAATGTGTAGCTTTCATCGCTTAGATAGGGGATATCAGTGTCCTTTAATTAACAAATGGCAACTCTGAGTGTGATAAAGTTGTTTGATCGTTCATTCAATACTTATTCAATCTAAAGGCGACTGCTCTCCCATCAAAACAGAAAATGTTGCTGAAATGTTTCAGAAATATTGACAAAGAGTTTACGGTAATCATGGTTTATTGTTTCTGAAACATTGCATTAATGTTACACAAATATTTTAACAATATAGTTATAAGAACACTTTTTGGTCGCCAACAATATTTCGTAAATATTTACGATGTATTTTCAAAATATTATTGAAATATTTACAAAATAATGTTTTAACATTTTATGAATGTATTGGAATATGGGTAAAATTTAAAGTGAAACGTTTGTATGAGAAGAGGAAAAAAGGGAACACAGCATAGATTGAGGGGTTGATTATCTACAGATAACATTGCTAAATTAAATTGCTGGGCACTTAACTGCAACTGAAAGACTTATACTTAAGACATCATTAGTCCACTGCAATGTTTTAAGACTTAAGTAGAAATTTAATTTTATTTTCTTTTTTGGGTGGAATAACCTTTCCCCTTAAAATTTTGAAAAAATGAAGTTAAGGGAGACCCTTTATAATAGATCAATTTGCTAAGTTGAACAGTTACATACGTGGTATGAAATTAAACTATTGAGGATAACTTAGCAACGATCATCGCATACATTCCAGGAGCCAACTAGGGTATATTTCAAACTAAAAAAATACTACTATTTCACACGTCAAAATAAACGTCAACATAAAACCAGCAAAGTTTAGATGTCACTGAAAGTTATGCGCAAATGTCTTTAAGCTCACTCCGTCCCTGTCAAGACTGAGGACAAATTATCAATCACTGTGGAGAATAACTTGTTATCATGTCGGACGACTCGGTTGTTCAGAAATCAGAATATCGCGTTTATTTACTGTGGGTGTTGGAGGAGCCGCGGCATGTAATCATTGCACAGGGTGCTCCAAAAGTCCAGCCCCCTGCTCTAACTTTTGAACGGTTCGAGATGGAAAATTGAAACTTTGGGAATGTTCCTATCTCAGAGGGGACCATCTTTTTGGGGGTTCAAAATTTTGGTCCCCCCTCAGAGTGGCCCCCCCCCCAATTTTTTTTTCAAATGGCAACCCCTATCCTGAGATACCTCATTCGGAAGAGCATAAAAAACTAAGAATTTTGGCTCAAACCGCAGATCTAAATCTTAATTTTTGACCGAGTTATGATAGGTCAAAGGTCAAATTTGACCTATTTTCAATAAATCATAACTCCGGTTCAAATTATCGCAAAGAAAAAAATAAATCGGGAAAATTTACCAAATTGTGTTCGCTTGTAAGTGAAACTTACAGAAATCACTTCGAACTAACTTTAGGGGGAGGGCTCGGACCCCCAAATCCGTCAATTCAAAGGTCATTCAATTTTCTCGCGAAATACGCCAATTCCCCCCAGATTTGCCTCCACACTATCTCAGTAAGGTCAAAATCAGTTCAACATTACGTTGGCATGTCCCCAAATTTTGGGAAAAGTTCAAAAAAACGAAATTTAATCACCTTAAATTTCGTTTTTTTGAACTTTTCCCAAAATTTGGGGACATGCCAACGTAATGTTGAACTGATTTTGACCTGACTGAGAAAGTATGGAGGCAAATCTAGGGGAAATTGGCTTATATCGCGAGAAAATTAAATGGCCTTTGAATTGACGTATTTGGGGGTCCGAGCCCCCCTTTAAATTAGTTCGAAGTGATTTCTGCAATTTTCACTTAAAAGCGAACACAATTTGGTAAATTCTCCCGATTTATTTTTTACTTTGCGATAATTTGAACCGGAGTTATGATTTATTGAATTTTGAGCGCGTGATTTTCACACTCATGATTAAAATAATAAGATGAGGAGGAAAAAAACTGATCCGTGGAGGCAACGCGGGAGCACAAGGATGCACTATCCTGTCGGCGATAAAATTAATTTCATAAATAATCTGGAATATAAAACGCCCAGAACGACTCGCGAATGGCGTACCCGCATGCCCCCCTATCCCATAATTCTCCCCCAGGACTGTCTCATTTAACGTCTCGGTGTTCCCCGGCGACCGCCATCCCTGAACCAAAGGCGGAGACCCTCGACTTATCATTTCTACCCCAGAGTCGCCAGTTTTCTTCGCTCCCTTAATGATAGTGGCGAGACGAGCTTGGCACTATATCGATTGATCTATCATTTTAACCTACACTGAAAAAAAAATCTCTGTGTATTTACTAAGAAAAGGGTAAAATTACCAAGAATTCAGGGTTCTATTTGATCCCAGTTTTTTCTTGGTAAAATTACCATTTATGGAATTGGTCGTTTTACCGAGAAATCTCGGTAAAATTATTGAACTTTCTCGGTAATTTTACTGGACCTTGGTAAAAACGCCAAAATTTTTTATCGACTGTGGTACAATTACCGAGATAAAATGGCCAAGTTACCGAGAATTGATTACCACTAAAAGTGGTATTCTTACCTGGAATTGATCACCAATAAAAGTGGTATTCTTACCTGGAAAAAACAGTAAATATACTGGTTTTTAGGTAAGCTTACCAGTCTGTCTTGGTAAAATTACCAATAATTGGTAAAAAAAAGTGAGATGGTAAAGGTACCAATGGACCTAGGTAAAAACGCCGAGAATTTTTTTTCAGTGAATGAAAAAAGATCGACAAACAAGGTGTCCGCAACGAACGCACCTTTATATTCGAATCTTTACCGCAGCCTCAAATGGGGAGATACTGTAATACCCCGGTATCCGCGAGGGTTACGTTCCGCGGAAACCAAAGTCGCGGATACGGGGGCATTGGTCTTATGGAAAGTGAAGGGTTAGGGGACATGTCAAATGAAAAATGCTTACATTCGCCTATGGTTTGCGGAAGAAACTCACAAGAGTTGGCTGTTTCATTTTACGCCGTAGATCTTTTTGTATTTCAATGTATGGAAGAAGTAGACTGCTGAGGCCTCGTTCAGTGGCGTGGCGTGCTTTGCGATATATCGATTGATCCACCATTTAAACATATGGAAAAGGATCGATTAACAGGGTGTTCGCAACGAACACCTTAATAATCGAGTATTTACCATCGCTTCAAATGGGGAAATATCGTTAATCGATCATTCACGCCACGCCACTGTAGAAGTTTAGTGTCCTTTCCATGTGCGGATCGATACGAAGTGCTTCCTCACCAACGTTTTGGACATTTCTTATGAATTCGCTTAGATTTTTAATAAGAAGCTGGGGCAAGTTCTCTTCCTCTTCTTCGCCTTCATCATCCACAGTTTGTTCTTCAATCATTTCAGCAAGATCCTCTTCAGTAAGTTCATTCGAGTGGCTGCTCAAGAGATCTTGGATGGCTTGAACCACGATTTCGACAACTTCAGACTGTAGAGCAGAGAGCTCAGCCTCATTCTAAATCTCCTCTTCATCCTCATCCATAGCTTTCTTCTTTGAGCTTTTCTTCTTCTTCTGCACTACTTCCCGCCATAACTTGCGCCAACAATTGTTGAGAGTGCTAGGTTTCAGTTCCTTCAAGGAACCCTCAATCCTAGAAAGGGCCTGTGCGATATTGAATCAATAATCGATCATTCACGCCTGACCATTGCTCATTGAATCTAGTTAGAACATTGCTTCTAAGGAACGCATGTTCTGAACCTCGAAAATTCAAGCCTCAATGGTTTCAATAGAAACCATCATGTGTATTGCATTTCTGTTTGATAAAAATTGAGCCCAGAGCATATTCTGCTTTTGCATATTAATATTGAAACCCTGACTTAATTTATTTCTTTAACTGCCTTCTGTTTCTGACCTACATTTTCAAGCTTGCTCTGCAAGCCGAAACACAATGGTTTGTCAAATTTGCCCCGCACGTGAAATCCCACTCAACAAAAATCCAAGAAGGCGTGAATTATGTTTTTCAAACGCACACTGCGCAGAGCTGACTATAGTCAATCATTGTGTTCGTCGAAGGAAAATATGTGCGTTGTTGTTTGACGGCGGAATTCCTCGCTTTTCAGTAGAGTGGCGTGCTCTGCGATTTATCGATTGATCTGCCACTTAATTCTATGGAAAAGAGTCGATAAACAGGGTGTTCGCATAACGAACACCTTTATAATCGATTCTTTACCATAGCTTCAAATGGGGGAAAATCGATAATCGATCATTCTCGCCGCGCCACTGCCGCGTTTGGTCCAATAATCCAACCATTAAAACACCATACCACGACTGGCTCAATCCGCCCATTTAAGTCCAGGCGCCTGGTAAGTCTACCTGGAATTTTGGGTACACAGCGATTTTTTTGGCTTACTTTATGTTTTTTGGGTCGCTGAATCCGAATCTGAAGTTTTCGCACGCGTATCTGGTGAGCATTTTCCGCTATTTTGAAAAAATGGCCTAAAAAGGCCTTTTTTTGCGGTTTTTTTTATATAGCGGCTACGAATGAGGAAAAGTCCCGGATTTGGCTAATGTTTTGAATAGCTGACATAATTTGGAAGAAAATGGTGTATACATATGTTAGGTTTGCTTAAAAATTGAGGAAGATACAGCATCGTGAACATCGCGCCTATTCACGTTTCGCACCCGTCAACGCGCGATCCGGCTCGCCGCGGTCAGCCAAGTTCCGAAGCGTTCTAAAGTTCCGAAATCCGAGGTTCCTCAATTTTTGAGCAAACCTAGCATATTTATATACCGTTTTCTTCCAAATTTTGTCAGCTATTCAAAACATTAGCTAAATCCGGGACTTTTCCTCATCCGTAGCCGCTATATCAAAAAAACCGCAAAAAAAGGCCTTTTTAGGCCATTTTTTCAAAATAGCGGAAAATGCTCACCATATACGCGTGCGGAAACTTCAGATTCGGATTCAGCGACCCAAAAAACATAAAGTAAGCCAAAAAAATCGCTGTGTACCCAAAATTCCAGGTAGCCTCATTTTTAG